GTTCTTATAAGACTTCAAATGTGAAAACTTAAAACAACATTAGTCAAATGACCTTTCCGTACACCAAATCTAAAACCCAGCAATCATCAGAAATGCATCTTTCACATAAATTGGAATCATATCTCTCAACTTCTTATTCCGATCTAATAAAAAAATATCATTTTATTATAAAAATATAAAATAATATTTTTATATTACTTGAAGAAAATTAATTGACTTTAGACAAAGTATATTGTCATTTTAGGACAAGTGATTTTCATTCCTTTAACATTAAAAGTTTGTGTGGTGATGTATTTGTTAATTAAGTTGATCTGAATATGTATATATTTTGGCTTATGTGCTGCTTTATTTCATAGTTCCAGCATGAGATTATAATAGAATGACAAATTATTGAATATTTCGGGATTATTGGTTGTCCTGAGCAACAAGAATATAACACCTAGCGAAATTTGGGTTTTATTCATATTCGATTCTGTTAGATTTCATGTTACTTTGGTTAGGACCTATTACATGATCGTTCATACATTAATTTCTTAGCCACCACCTGATAAAAACTAAATTACTGAATTTTTTTAAACAATAATACATTCTATTAAAATGAACACAAAATGAAAAAACTTCTCATTTCACAAACGATATTGATTCATGGAGATTAAGAGAAAAGAATTTCCATAGCTCCAATTAATATAATAATACATGATCCAGTTGTATTGATTTGGCATATGTAAAAGAATATTCATAGAATCATAAAAAAAATAGCATAAAAGTACCTGAAAGCAACAGCAATTAGGTTCTCTAGATTGTGATCAAAATCTTGGAGGGATACTGCAACTTACTGTAAATCCTGAATATGAAGCTAATGTCAAGGTAGAACACTCATAATGGACCTTGAGAACCTATTCAATAAGTTGTACTAACGAATCAAACAAGAAACTCTTCCATTGATAGACTAGTTATGAACAATATCTAGAACATACCCATCAATACAAACAAATAAAAGTTTGTAACTTTGCAATTCCAGAACTTCTAAAGAGTTGTGATGGAAAGATCTCAATCATATTATTACTTTTTGTTCTATATATACTAAAGTAAGGAGAAGGAAGCAATAAACTTAATTAGTAACCTTGTTTAAAGAAGTAGGACATATATCATAAAATAATGAATGAGGAGAGAAACATACCAATGAAGTGAGTGAATGGAGATGAAGAAGTAAAGGAAAGAAGTAGAAGCCAAGTTCAGAAAATTAAACAAAGGGTTTGGCAAATGTGCCATTAATATCTCATTGTACCTCTTTCACTTTCTTATAAAGGAGAAAGCTAAGGGCTTAAATAAAAAAAGAGAGAAAAGAAAAGGAAGGAAAGGTGCCATATTGAACTTGGACACACATTCTTGGCAGGAACATTATGATTGGAGGGCAAGCTGTAAAATATAAAAAAAAGTTGGTATATACGGAAAGGAACAAACCATAAAGGAGAGAATATCACCATCATTAACAATGCATTTACGATTATGACCCCTTTCACTAGTACAAATCAGCCCTAAATAATAATGGTGACAATGTAAATATTTGATTAGAATAAGGTATCCCTTTATAGCATGTTATAACTTATCTCTGTAAATTTATTTGTTGTTCTTATTTTCCCTTGGAAAGTTTCATTTAAAAATATATTATAAAAAATATAATATATATTAATTAAGTGAATTTAAGAAGATAAATTATGTCATTATATGAAAATATATTTTATTCTTATATTCATTTAAGGATTAAATCTCTTGTCCAAAGGAACACTTGTTAAAATATAAATTCACTAGCAGATAAAAAAATATAAATTCACTAATACATCTTCATTACATCCATCTTGAAAGGATCAAAGTTTTATTTCTCATAAGCCTAGATATATACAAAAAGGGTAGGGATCCACTTACTCCAAGAGTAAGTAGAAAAACACTTACTCCACATCATGATCATTCATTATTGGGAAATCCAATGGTTTGAATTGGTGAGTACATTTAAACCATTGGATTTTTTAAGATTGAATGACTAAGATGAAGAGTAAGTGTTTTTTGGAGTAAGTGGATCTCTCCCCATACAAAAAAGTAATCACGCATCTTATCCACTTACTCCAAAAATAAGTTTTTGAAATTTATTCCATATGTCATCAAGTCTAGGAAAATTCAATGATTTGAATTAGTGAGTAAATCTAAACCATTGAATTTCCCTAAAATTAATGGTTAAAATGTGAAATAAGTTTAAAAAATTATTATTGGAGTAAATCCTCCTATTGTCTTTTGTTAAGTTTTTTTCTTGTTCAACTAGTAAATTATGAGTTTTGGGGCTCAGTAAATATTTATTAATTTGTGACAAAAACATATTTATAAATTTCCACTACATATTTGTGAGATTATTTCAAGGGTAAAATTTAAATTAATGAATCTTTAGTCTATTACAATACATAAAATAGAAGAAAAGTAATAAGAGAGAAAATGTACATTTATAGATAATGTATATAAAATGACATAAATGTTCTCATTTTTTTATATAAAAAAATATGTAGCAGGTATAATTTTTAAAAACTATATTTTGTTATTAGAAATTTCATAAATGAATACGTTTTAACTAATATATCAATTATAAAGTTTAATATAACAATTTTTTTCAAAATTCAATAAAAATCATTAATATCTTATATTTTCTTTCTACTAATGCATCTAAAGAAATCATAACTCAAGTTTGATAACTACTTTTATATTTCTAATCATCTCACTTTTGCGCATTTGCATTTTTTATTTATTACTTGTCATTTTGTATGTGATTTTAACAAATTATGTTTTATTCTTTTCACTACATTTTTACTAATCATACACAATTACTATTTATTTGTGAGTTCATAAGCATTGAAATTAAAATTAAATAAACTAAATTCATATAGAAATAAATAAAAACAAAAGAAGTTCATTATATTGTATCTATTTTCACCTTTAATATTGTTCTTTCAATTCATTCACGGTGGAATGACAAATTTGTAATTTTCTATTGTTTTCTTTAATTTTTCTATTTTCTTCAAAAAAAAATAAGGAAGAAAAGTTTTGTGTGGGGCTCCGTGCATATTTTTTTGTCCCGCATATTTTCTATTGGAAGATGGAAAACGACATTTTCCACTTATTTGCTTTCAACTCCTTTTCTTTTCTCTTATTTTCCATAGAACCTTAGTTGCAATCAGAATAGAGGGGGAAAAGTGAGGGAAAGAAAAGTATAACAATTTTTTTCCATCATTTAGTTGAAAAGAAAACAAAAGAAGAAAGGGAAAAAAGTATTGGGGCCTACTAAAAAAATTTCTTCTCCTATCTAGAGTGAAAATAGATGCAAAAATTATATTTGCTCTTAAGTAATTTTTATAAAACTTTTTGTTTTTGAACATTCTTCACTTCATTAATTTTCATTTTTTCTTTATTTCAAATCATATTATTAATGAATCCATTTTTTATTAACTTTTCTTTCTTTAACTTTCATTTCACTCAGTTTTTCTTATATCTTAAACCAAATATAGTATAAATCAAATTACAACTTTGTTAAAATAATTAATATATTTTTATATTAAATTATAATTTTGTTACTCAAGTGAATAAAATAAATAGGATGAAAATAAGGCTAGGCGAATGCATGTAATATATTTATGGATACACTATGTGAGCATTGGAGATATGGATATCCTGAGCATATCACATTTTCTAATAACATTACCGGAATTAATAAATAAAATAAGCTATAATATTTTTAATATTATGTTATCCCATGAGCTTATAAAATTTGAATCATTTGACATCGTTTTTGAATTTGGAGTGAGAATTTATTTGGGACAAGTTGTTCATTTTTTTTGGTATTATCAAGAATATATTTTTATCCTACGAGTAAGAAACTAATTCATTTTAGGATATATAATTGTTCTCCAACAAGTGTCACTCATAAGAATCGAAGTCTCTATCTTTTGAATCCAACGGGATATTAGACTACTAAACTAACACCTTATGGTTGAAAATATATATTAAGAAATGCTGAAAAAATAACTATCACAAAAACTAACGGAAATAACTTGAATATGTAAATAATATATAATTTTATTTATACATTTTATAATAAAAAACAACCCTTATAAAAATTATTTTTATAAATCTGTCGCAATTTTTAGTTTTTTATATAAGAAATGTAGGTAGATAAACATTTCAATGCATGCTTTTCATCAAATGGAATTTAGGAAAGAAAGATGAATATACAATTAGCAAAAAAATATTATTATAATTGAAACTGATAACTTTTAAGGAAGTGATTAAACTCTTAAAGTATTAGCAGAGTCATTGCATTAATTTGATATTCTCGGAGTGTTAAAGGGCAATGCCCTACTGTCAGTGGTCCATAATAATGGTGGTTGTGATTCATAACAACTTAATTAATATGTATATCTGCCTTAGGTATCCACGCAGATGAAATTCCAATAAGAACCTTATGTCTTAATTTATTGGTTGTAGTGAATTCTAATTTCTAAGGCAATTTGGAAATTTTGATGGAGAACAAACCACTACAAGTCTTAGTCTGAGCTACAGAAACACTTGGCGATTTTATTTTAGGTATTTTTTGAAATTGAGGAGGGAAATTAATTTTTTATTAACTATCGTTGTGAAGATAGAAAAATGGCTAATTTGACTCCCAATAGTGTAAGAAAGTTATTAGTGATGGTGAGTGGTGGAGTAAACGATGAGTATCTTATTTTTGAGTGTTTTCGTTGTCATGAAACCTATTTGATCTTCATAAGTCCTCTTTGATAAAAAAGAGTGAAAACATAAGTCCTCTTTGCCTGTTTGCTTCATCTGCAAATAAATAGAAGACAAATCTTAGCCCTGAAAAAGGGTGCAGCTAGCCATATTTATCTGAAATGTTAAGGAGAATATGATTAATAAGTTGGTGGTGATGGGGAAGTGCTGCTATATATATATGATGAAGCACTAACCAATTGAGGTATTGGCGTGCCTCAATTTGAAGACATGGTTATTATGGAAACTAGCCATGTAGTTTTAATTGAGCCGCGTCAATATCTTAATTATTTCCCATCTCTCAAACCCCGGGTATGTATGTATGCATTATCTAATACTCCTCTTTTTCTTCATTTCCTTTATATATAGATAACTATGTCCTTCCTTTTCTTCTGCTATTTTTGTTTTTCGGAAATAAATAGATTCATATAATCTTGATTATACTAATGTACTATTTTGTAAAAATAATGCTGATGCAATATTAATTGCGTCTGTGCAAACCATTGTTTCCTCAATTACCATGGCCAACCCAAATTATAAAACATAATGTTTATGTAGGTACTTTTAACAAATTAAGGAATTATGGAAGGTATTATATATATATAGAAGGTATACTTAGATCATATGTAGACATTACAATGTATAGACTATAGACCATAAATTTAGTTGTATCTCGTTAATCAAAACCAAAGTTAACTATCCTTAGTTAGCCAGCAAAATAAAATTTGAGACCACCTTATTTAAATAATCAAAAAGTTAATATTTTTTTTTGTTAATTAGATTCACCAACACTTAAATAGCACACACACATTGTGGGTGAAGATATGTCATCCCCGTAGATATAGATTTTGATGGTGGAGTGACATGTCCATATGGCTATTGTAAATTACGATTAAATGTAAGTATATGAATATATGATTTTTCATTATAAAACCCCGAGTATGGTCGCTTGATATTAACCTTTCTTCTCTACCTAGATATAGATTTTATTTGTCGCTTTTCCTCTTCTAATTTAATCTTCATGATGTTGATCCAGATAAATTAATTTGAATAAACGGATAATTCTGGAACCATAACATTTTCCGCTTCCTACTTGAGAGAAAGTTCAATAGCTAACAGTTAGATGTCAAAAAACTTGGCTTATTGGGTCGACCATAACCTTAATTTTGTCAGCATTGCATTGACCAGGCCTAATCCATCAGAGTCCTCTTCATTGTTGCTTATAATGTTAGCATGTCCAAACCCATTTATGAACATAAATGTATCTGCACACACACAGATATATAACTATAAAGTTAGGTACAGTTTGAGGATTAAGGTGTCATTTTTACTACAGAAGACATTCTTGAATATATATGTATATAGGAGTAGATGATATTTAGTGTAAGAAGAATATAATGAGAATGATATAGAGTGGGTGCAGGGAGGGGACACAGGCCAAATTAATGTAGAGAATCCTTCATTTTCAAGCTCTTGAGAGTTGAGAAGCTAGCTATGTTCTTGAAGGATTGGAGAGAGCAATAAGGTGTGATGACTTTATTTGTTTTTGTTTGATTGTGTTCTTCTTAAAGAGAACTATGATAAGATAATACTATAAACTGTAAGCTTGTGCATATATGCTAAAAGGTGTCAAGAAAAAACTTTGATGCTTTTTTGGATCTAAAGGAAAGTTTTATTTTACATCTCAAATATATTCTTCTGATATATATGATTTGGATAGTATATATTGTATATCACATATGCAAATATATATGAAATAGCTAAATGTGATGTATATATTATGTCGACGATGATGTTCAAAAAAGAGATCTCCTCTTACATTGGTGTCTCTTACCCATAGACATTCCTTTTCTTTTTCTTCTTCATCATACATAGTTTTCTTTTCCTTTTTGTGAGTCATGGATTGGTGCATTTTGTCATGATTTCAAACAAAATCAAAAGCAGCAGTCACTTTGGGAAAAATCACATCCATCTACAATATATATTGCTCTTTGTTTTCCCATTTAGACGAGAAATCCAAGTGCCGCTGAAATAATATCAAGGTGCAGTGAACAAAAATAAAATAGTGGGGATGCCTTAATGGTTTTATCCAAAATACAAATTATCTACCAATTCTAATTAAACACATGAAAAATGTAACGCGAAAAATTCAAATTTTTTCTAACTTAATGAAATTTCATATCATTTAAAACTTTCACTTTAACAAGAAAATACTTCATATAATAAAGATAGAGTGATAGTAGGAAAACAATACAATAATTTCACCATTAGTCAAATTAACAAAACAACAAAACATGGATAAGATTCCTATAAAAGGGGTCCAATGTCAACAATTACAAATCCCTAGAATGACTAGAAGACACACTAAATCCACACGCCATGCAATTACTTCATGACTCTGCAGTATCTTAATCATGCGCTCCACCTACAATCCGATTACCACGGATTGAGTAAACAAAACAACATAGAGCGAGTCAGTCATTAAATACATGCAATATATAACATGGTGGTTTTAAATAGAATAATAACATTATAACATTTCAAGTAGGAACTATTCATCGTTACAGCACAAGCACATCCATGAGATTCAATAAATCATTAATCATAACTATACCACCCATCCATAATACAATCAACTCTCAACTGTCAATCCACAAATCAAAATCCATACAACAAGTGTATATCAAAATCCATGCCACGAAGGCAGGTCAAAATCCATATCACGAAGGCAGGTTAAAATCTATACCACGAAGGCAGGTCAAAATTCATACCACGAAGGCAGGTCAAAATCCATACCACGAAGGCATGTCAAAATCCATACCACGAAGGCAGGTCAAAATCCATAATCAACATATTATCCACAACCGTAGAACTAACGCGGTTAAATAGGAAACTCATGATATTTCCCGTTTAATCGTGTTAATCCACTGAAACCTCCAACTAGTGAGTGTCGTTGGAGTTTCCAATGTCAAGATTCTAATACCACAAAGTTTTAATGCTGCTCCCTCACATGAGTAGTCGCTAATGCTTGCACTAAAACTCAGTTGCGTTCTCCGCCGTCTCCTCCAACCTTAGGGTCTTTCAACCCAATACAACACAATTACAACATATCAATTTACACATCAAAATACTAATAATACTAACCAATAATCCTACAACACCAGAAAACATTATCCATTCATTTCATCTTCAACATAGAGGTTTCCCTAATGTTGCCATGACTCTACGGTTTTGAAAACAACTTCCCACACACCCATTTCGAAAAACAACTCATCATCTATGAGTTTTACAAGGTTTTCCAAAGCAAAACGGACCAAAATGCAAAAAGAGGGTTTATGGGGTTTTACCCCAAAACATGGAGAAGAAACCTCATTCATAATGATGACATTCAACCTTAAAAGAGGCTAGGTTAAGCGATTTACCTCTTCTTCTGTCTCCTCTTTGACTCTAAGGGTGCACAACTCCTCAAACCGTTCCTCTTCTCTTGTTTTTCGAAAAATAATCTCTTATCCTCACTTGGGACGTCTATTTTAGTTATCAGATTTTAGATTCTTGCTCAAGCGAGGGTAGGCTCGCTTGGGCGAGGACCCACGACCCTTGGCATCATTCAGGAACTGATGCTCTCGCTTGGGCGACAATTTCTCGCTCAGGCGAGATTTGTCCAGTGGCAACACCACTCTCTCGCTTGAGCGAGTTCCTTCTCGCTCAGGCGAGATTCTTCCAGTAGCCACGCCTCTCCCTCGCTTAAGCGAGCTCCATCTCGCTCAAGCGAGAATTCCAGGAAAATACCTGGGAATAACAGAGTTCCTCGCTTGGGCGAGATCCTCTCGCTCAAGCGAGAATCACCCAATAGCTCCCAGACTTCCTGATATCCACTATATTCGGAATTGTAAATTTTGAGAAGTTACAAAAAAACATATTTAATATTATAAAACAACAATGTATTTGTCAGCACCCAAAGTGGAAAGAGGGAGAAAAAGCCATGAAATTAGTAAATGAAAAAACCCTCCTAAATCCTAACTCAATTAAATTTCAATCCTCTACTCACCTAATCCAACTTATTTCTATAAATAGTTCACTACAACAAAAATTGAAAACAGAAATACGAATATTCATTAGATAGTATTTATATGTAATTTATAAAAAATAAGTTGGAGAGTACTTATATGAATAATGAATGAGTATATAGTGCATTTCTATTAACAGTTATGTTAGGAAATAGTGAGGATCACCTCATCTTGTGGACAATGGAATCTTAGTATGTTTTTTGAACCTTTTATAAAGATTTTCATTCACATTTGGGCATAGCTATATATTTGATTGAAATGGTATGGTCAAAAAATATTATTTGATTAAAACGCTAGAAGGAGGGCTTGAAACAGCCATTAGAAATACACACTACCACATGAAATATCAAAATTGTTGAAACACCATCCATGTGACATTATGCTGTTTTTATATTTTATTACTGACGAATATCATAAACTCTGAGAGAAATGTTTTATCCACTTTAGTAAGTAAAGGTAACAACTCCATTATATTTTGCTTAGGCTGGCTCTCCATTTTTAAATTAAAGGAATAGTATAGTGTTTAACAACACGTTAAGGACCGACTATTTATACAAATAAGACATTAAATCGAGTGCATTTTGGGTAAAGAAAATCTTATTTGAGGGTTTATTCAAACAACATTGAAATACGCTAAAACAAGCTCACTTTTATACCCTGGTTATTTTATTGGAATAAACTAAAAAGGAAGAATGTTATGAAAAAGGTATTCTCATGATAACACTGACTACTAACTACTAAGCTCTGTTGACCGTCAAATTTGGTAAACCTTGACAGAAAAGGGGCTATATTTGAGCTTTTCAGGTTCCCCAGAGCTTGCAGAACTGACAAGTTCAAGTGTATGAATTATGATTTTTGTGGGTGAAAATAATTAAAACTTCAAGAACATGCAATTTAGATAGAAACATAAGGCCATTTTAATCTGGTTGCAATATTCATAATGATTGTCATGGTTCAGATCATAGAGAAATAGTTCAAACGACCGGACATACAATTGAGATGACTACACATTAGTTATTTTGTTCTGGAAGTTCTATTCACATGGTTGCAGTTGGTTAGCATTTCAGATCATGACCCCAAATGTGTTCTCCCCGCTGTAAGTCATATACAGGAATCCATCTTCATCCTTATTTTCCTCATATATTGCAGACATCATAGCGGCTGCATCAACAAAAACCTAAAACTCAGTTCACAATCAACTAAATTGCTAAAGTAGCATTGATAATAA